AACTACAGGTGCCAAGCCTGTAATTTTTCTTTGAATCTGGTGCACAAAACAATAGAATGAAAATAATACCTTCTTGTTTCATCTGACACATTACTAGACATAAAATAAAGGTCAAGGAATTTATTGACCTCTACATTGGCCTGACTGGAAAAAGGGAGGTCAAGGGGGAATATACTCCAGGTAAATGATATTCCTGTAAATAGATCAGCACAGGATTTATGAAAGATTCCCCTCAGAACCAATGTTTTGCTTCCACGTCTATGCCTCCTCCCCAGTTGCCTAGTAAATTAACATTCAACTTCTGCCCTTTTTTCTTTTGGCTCTTTATTTAGTTTTTCCTTCTCAGGTCTGGCAATATTGCTATGTCCTTTAACACCAACCCATCCCCCACTCCACTAATTTAGGGTAGAGGGGGGTGGAGGGAATACATTTTTTCAAAGAAACAAGTTTTTAAAGTTGGGTCCCAGAACTAAACATAAACAGTGGTCTATAGTGGTCCATTTTCCTCCCTATTCCCAAGTCAAACATTTCAGAAAACTAAGAGTTCTTTTCCAATCTCTCACCCCTATAAGTAAACCTTTAGCAAATTCCAGGGGTATAGTTTTTGCCTGTCATCCTTGTGCTGGGGCCATTGCTAATCTTCTCTGTATCACTGCAATTTTAGTATATGTGCTACTGAAGTGAGCACCTGACTATATAGTTTTTGAAGACACAGCTCTTGACTCATCCTCTCCTGCTCTCTGCTACTGGGGTCTCCACCCAGAGTGCTAACTCAGCTCCCACACAAGCTGACTTTTGTTCACAAGACAAAGACACCAAGTGGTGAGACCAGGAATATTACTGAGTTCAAAACGGTGAGAAAATTCAGAGTCATCTTTTCTTCGCCTTTGGAGACCACCTATCTGGAGAAGAGTAAGAATAGGGTGTCAGGTAGAGAATGAATGGAACTAGATACGCTGTGCTTCAGGCAGACAGTCACTGTCTTGTTAGAGGTAGGGAGATTTCTTTAAAAAAAGGGGGGGGAGGCTCGGCGCCTATAGCTCAACCTGCTAAGGCGCCAGCCACATACACCTAAGGTGGCGGGTTCGAATCCCCAGCCCGGACCC